TTCCTAATTATTCCACAATTTTTCTTTGGCATAGCATTTGCTTTAATATTTGCAGCTTCACTGGAGTTCACTGTAGCTCAGGCTCCAGTACAAATGAGAGGAATGATGGTTGGAATGTGGCTTGCATCAATGGGAGTTGGTTACCTCATTAACATCAATCTTAAATATGGTTTTCAGTGTAAAAACGAATTTATGTGTACCAACCCATTTTACTACGCAGTGAAAAGTGTCATCACTCTTGTATTTTTGGGATTGTATTATTTTTTGTCAAGAAAATACAAGTTTCGTGTAAGAGAGAATGAAATTAACATTCACAGAATTGTTGAAGATCATTACCATAAGTATATGACACAGAAAGATGTCTATGAAGCAAGAAGATCAGAGGATAAGAATACGATTATTGTAGAAGAAGAAAAAACTTGAGTTTTATTCTAATTCTTTAATTTCTTTTGTCATGGGCTATAATTGTTTTGTGTTTGCATTATTATTATTAATGTTATTATTATTTTTTATTACACGGCCAAGAATTTTAATTTGAATCATGACTGATACCAATCATGACTCAGCCTTGATACATTCCTGTATCATGGATTTTGGGCAGCCTGCAAAGCAATGAATCTAGTATGATACAATCATGATAATCATGATACAACCATGCTGGAGTACGACCCTGGTTCAGCCAGAGCAACAGACATGATTCAACATTGATGCCAGTCAGGGCTGTATCAAAATAGACATCAGGCTTGAATCATTGATTTTGGGTAGTGGCCTGTATCAGAGATGATAATTCTTGGCTGTGGGAAACATTTTGATATCACGTGATGATTGACCTACCGTACCCATATGCATGTGCAAGGCTTTGCAGGCTTTAAAGCAGACCCACCCCTAATCTAGTTCCACCTACTATCATTAGCTAGTTTTCATCAGTTTCATGCAGTTCTTGGCTTAACTAGCCTGCTGGTGAGTCCCTACATACTTTAAGCACACAAAATCTACTAAAATCTTTTGCTCTATTGTCAGGTCTGTCTGCAATCATTATTATCGATTTGATCATGAACCAGGGTCATGGCAGCTGTAGTCTATGTAGGAGGTATTGGTCTAATGTAAACGTGTTTACTTCTGGTGTAGCAATCCTTGTCCTTATTTGGGACTCTCTTATGTATTTTGAGATTCTCTTAATGAGATTCTTTATATCAACTGGAGCAGCTGGTGGGACCAAAGGAGTCATCCTTGATGTATTGTATTGTTTGATATTTTTCTCTTTTCCCTTATTTGGGTTACTGGCTGACGTACATGTTGGTAGGTACAAAGCAATCATGGCTGGCATAATACTCTGTTTCACATCGTGGATATTTTCAGGGATAGGTTTTGTCATTTACGGTTTCTACACTAACAACACTCTCCTTTTATTTTTTTATGGGCTGGCTTATATCACTGCGGTTTCTGGCTACACGAGCTTCAAGGCTAACATTGTTCAGTATAACATTGATCAACTTGTAGGAGCATCAGCTGATGAGTTGAGTGCAGTCATATACTGGCATTCAGCGGCAGTGCCTATTTCATTTGTTATTTTTCAGTTGATACGATGTGCAATTATTGGTAATTACATTTTTCTGATAACATTTGTATCTGCTGGATTATCATTATCTGTTGTACTGGTCTCTCATTCATTATTCAAACACAAACTGGAGAACGTATCACTGATCAAGAATCCAGTCAAACTGATAGTTAGAGTATTGTGTTATGCCAGGAAGCACAAGTATCCTGAGAATCGTAGTGCTCTGACCTACTGGGAGGAAGAGGCTCCTTCAAGAATAGACTTAGGGAAGCATAAGTATGGTGGACCATTCACAGAGGAAGAAGTAGAAGATGTGAAGACAGTTTTTCGAATGCTACCATTATTAATATCTGTTGTTGGATTGACAACTAATGATGAAGTTTATCACTGGATAATGTCTGGAAATCAAAGTATAGAAATAAGTTATGGGTCCTGCTTGATATCAACTGAATTTGGAAAATTTTTCACCTCAGTTGTATTTTTTCTGATTTACCTTTTGATATTCCAACCAATATTTAAAAGATTTATTCCTAGGATGTTGTTAAGGATTGGAGTTGGTTTAGTGTTTGCTTTTTGCACAATGTTTTCAAAAACAGTGATCTTCATTTTAGTACCACCTGATGCTTCCTCTATAACACCTTTTACTACTCCACTCCTATATATTCCACAATTCTTTTATGGTGTAGCATTTGTATTGATAATTGCAGCTTCACTGGAGTTCACTGTAGCTCAGTCTCCAGTACAAATGAGAGGAATGATGGTTGGAATGTGGCTTGCATCAATGGGAGTTGGCTACCTCATTAACATCAATCTTAAATATGGTTTTCAGTGTACGAACGAATTTATGTGTACCAATCCATTTTACTACGCAGTGAAAAGTGTCATCACTCTCGTATTTTTTAGTTTGTTTTTTTGTTTATCAAAAAGGTATAAGTTTCGTGTAAGAGAAAATGAGATTAACATTCACAAAATTGTTGAAGATCATTATCATAGATACATGACACAAAAGGATGCTTATGAGGCAGCGCCAAGTGATACTGTTATTATAGAAGAGGAAACACCACTTATATTTTAATACTTTGCTTAATCATTGTACAAACTGAAGCTATTATTTTTTTTAATTTATGAATAATTATGCATGTACATATGTATTTTTAAATTCCAAAGTATTATTTTGAGTCTATGTATCTAGCTTATAAAACTCTTGATTGAAACTTTACTGCAAGATAGCTAAGACAGCTGCAATGATAAAAGCAACAAGGGGCATCATCAATCCAATAGCTCCATTAGTAGTGCTAGTTGGTGGCTCAGTTGATGCTATAAAAATAATCATTAAAACAGCTAAAATTAATGACATTTAATGTACCTTCAAATTGACACATTTGAAGACAGATTTGGGATCCAAAGAGCCCAATGGTTCTTGGCCCTCCAAATTCTGCCGGTGAAACAAAAGACTCCACTTCCCCTTCAGTTGCAAACCCAATGTAACGGCAAGCATCAAGATTAATATCTTCAGTCGCATTTGGACTTATAATTGGACGAGTGAAGTTAACTGTGAGAAAACCATCATTCAAGGAAATCCTGACATTTGTGAGATCCTGATTAACATCAAACTGTGGTCCACCAGAAACTGACACATTTGATATCCACCTATTGCAATAATGACAATTTTATTGCATAATTTTACCACTATTAAGTTACCTATCTTCAACAAAGTATACCATACCATTATTTCCAGCAATGATGATGTCAACATTAGCCTGTGTGAATGATTGCAATAATAGATTACAATCGTGCAAGTACTTACCAACATATCTGTAGTATCTATAGTAAATCCCACATTGTTATTAGAGAATGTCACAGCAGCATATTCACTCGTGTTTGCTGGAGCAACAAAAGTGAAGTTAACACTATTGTTACTTATGACTGTCCAGGAAATGCTTATTTCCTCTGTCTCATCTCTTAGTCTGCCAGTACATTGAGACAGAGAGAAAGCAAAAAGGCTATTCAAAATTGCAAACTTCAGTATGGCTATCTTCATTGCTGAACGATGATTAAAATGATCGTGATGTTGATCTGAAGTGATTCATATAGGCATGTAATCTGTTCTTTTAATGCTTCAGGGAGTTTGCACATGAAATCCATTCAAAGTAACTGAAAGTTAGATTAGTGAAAATTAGATCAGAACTGTAACTTTTTAGGCTACTAATCATTGGTGAAATATCTTAATCAAAAAACCCACTTGTCTTAATTGTGTATAAGGCTATTATAATATCAATTCTAAGGTCCATTTATTATTTTAGTTCGGCACCAAAGACATGCTTTAAGTATACACATGAATATTGTGTTCTAATATGTTCTTGTGTCAGTGTTGTGTGCTTTGTAAACTATACAAATTTGTGTACTGTATACTGCCATGCCCACTCACTACACCTTACTAGTGTTTTGCCAAACGACTTCTATGATTTCAGTTTGTGATCAACAACTCTTAGTATTCAATTGTTATTTGAGTGCATAATTTGCCAGATTAGTGGTGCCCTCTGTCTCAAAAGTGAAGTTTTATTACAGCTAATATATCGTGTAGGCATAGAATTAGTCTTTAGGGAAATTTTATCTGTGTTTTTATTACGAAATAGCAACCATGCCTACAACAGCTGCCTTTTTGCTCTAAAATTTGTTTTGTAGTAGTATTATTACACTGTTAATGTGTTGAGGTATGCATATTGATGTATATATTTGAGTTACATATGCAACTAACAGAGCTACCATAATAAGTGTTGGTAATAGTGAGAAACACATAATCAGGCAAGTCACACTCCCACTAAGTGTAGCATTACAAAACACATTTACTTGTTCTATATCTTCACATATAATAGTCGAACTGTAGTCAAAATTTTACAACACTAGCTGTCAAGAAATGAACCACCAAATTGTTGTCTTGGCTTTTATATTCAGCCTGCTCTCTTTGTCATTGGCTCAATGTACTGGACTATTGACTAACTCTTCACATCAAGTTAGTGTCTCATGGATGGTTGTTGGTGAGAACAGTGTGAGTTTTACTTTCACTGCCCCAGCTAACAGCAGTACGTATACTAGTCTGGTTATATCTGATCATCCTATAATATTACCACTTCAGTTTGTGAGTTGCTTTTTCCTGATGTGCATAGATTTAGTTTATCTTATGCATAGAATAACGTTGATGTTGTCTATGCTGGGGATAATGAAACTACTAACTTCGTTGAAGACAGGTAAACAACATTGTACATTGTAGTTTATAGTAAATTGTTTTGAAGTTCTGATTGAGTTGATTACTAATAATAAATATACATTTATGTAACAGTTTATGTACACAAGTGGACATATGTTGTTTCATGTCTTTAAAAAACAGAATGTTGTTTATTGTATTAAGTGTCAATTACTATTATGCACATTTACATTGCGTGCAATGAACATAGTCAAGTACTGTAGTAATGTGTGTTTATAGTAAGTTTCCCCAACTGTTTTTATGCATCCTTATAGATGGATTGTAAACTTTATGTCACTCTATGACAAACAGCAAGACATTGAAGACACCAGTACTTTATTGACTGATGATGACCTTTTGATGGTCAATTTCACTCGTCCCATCATTAGTACTGATGAGGCGCAAGACACAAACCTAAATGCTTGCAAATACCTTATTTGGGCATATGGTGGTACTGTAGAGTCATTTAAATATCCAAAATTTACTTTTCAAAATCTTCCACGAGCTTTCGGAACTTTTAATGGTCAAATTTGTCTTCAATATTGTGAAGGTACTTTATGCCAGTTTTATGCTATTTTTTTATAATTTTTATTAGTAACACCATCTCCCAGTGCTTCTTTAATGAGTTCCAGTACACCTACTTCTTCACCATCATCTCAAACACCTTCAGCTGCTACCAACAATCATCCTGTCATCTTTATCATTCTTTTTGCTATAGGTTTGCTATCACATACTCTTAATATTTGAGAGCATTGATAGTTTAAAAGGAAATAAACTTACTATCAAAGCTAGTTCAGTTATATACTTAGCTCAGTTAGATATACATTCATTTTATCAAACATTTTTTGTCAAATTAATATTCTCAATAACTGTTAGTTAATGATGACAATGTGTAATCACATACATTGTTGTGGGTGGGTGCATGAATATGACACTCACAGATAGAGTTTATAAAACCAAAAGTGGGCGAATTATAGCTAGACAAGACAGATTCAAAATGGAAGGACTACTAAAGCTCTTTCTTCTAGCTGGTCTCTTTACTATTTCTCTAGCTCAGTGCTCAGGGAGCTTTAGTAATTCTATACAGCAAGTTACCCTTGAGTGGACTGTGATTGATAGCAACACTGTCAACTTTATATACACTGCTCCTTCCACTAGCACTCAATATACTGCTTTGGCTTTCTCTAACCAATTCATAACCTCTTTAGGAAATTTGGTGAGCTCTGGGCTAATTGTATAACTGATCTTATTATATATATTTTAGGTTAACGTGGATGCTGTATATGCTGGAAATAATGAAACCGTTGTTTTTGTACAAGACAGGTATAGCAATCAATGTATTAGTCTTCTTAATTT